AAAACCTTTTTCTGTGAACATAAATTTAAACAATCGTAATGGTGTTTTTATAAAACTATGAGCCTATTTCTCGAAGCAAAATAAGTAGAAGGAGTTTTTTTCCATTTTAATGAACTGAATATAATGTAACATCTCGTGTCAAAGCAAAAGCCAATGTTTTACATTTGAATGTTTTAAATTCAAAATCAATGGATGTTAGTGAAGAGCAGCCTTGCTTTCGCTTGATGGATTTATGCATGTCAGACTCTTGATATTTTATATATTTTCATCTCATGCTACATATTTTGCTACATTTTCGTCGTGAGTTATAGAAAAACAAGTCATTCGATTGTACTTTTAAAACTTCATGTTTTAAAAGAAAATTTCATTTGTTATTTTACTGTAACTTATGGCATAAAACTGTTTTTAATTCTCTCTTAAACAGGAGATATCCTTCTATGATTAACTAGGTTTTTTTTAATATAAAAATATGTTAAACAAATGAGTCCCTTTTGGTAATATTCAAAATTAACCAGCATAAATAGTTGGCAATTAGTCATTTTATTTATCTCAGACATCAACTAATTTATGAGTGTATTCTTTTGCTCATGATGTTGAGAATTTACTTATTAAAATACTTTAATTTTGATTTACGTTTAACCCACTACACATACAATTAATTATAATGATGTATTGACGAAAATTATAATTGTACTAGACTCACGTGAATGAGATAAAATGTATTAATAGGAAAATAATAATTAAGACATTAACTCATAACCTTACAAATTGGGTTTAATAACAGAATAATGTTGACAATACTTGCTAATACCACATATACACATTATCTACACGATTTTTTTCGAGACGTTTATATTTAGTATTTCAATTAATCAAAAAAAGTCTCATGCAACTTATTAATTCAACACTTTTAACAAGCATTAACGTCAGATGTTAATCAATCTGTGTATCATATTTCCAAGAACAAATAAAATGCTTTTGTCTATTTGCTATTTATATTGATACTATTTTTTATATTTAACTTCAGATTAAATGTACCCTTTTCAAATAACCACGACTCATCCTGCTCAAAATAGAGCGTAGAGCATTAGCTAATTGATACAGGAGCAAACAACAAAATAAACATAAACATTCTCGATTCCATTGTATCGTAGAGAATATTAATACAATGTTCGTTCTGTCACCTAATCCAATGTAGTAATAAACATTATTTTTGAACTTGACTCGAGGTGACAAAACCTTGAGGTCTAAATTTCGTTCTAACCTTAAAAACACACACAAAGGACTAAAGGCACTTATTTTTTACAAAATAAATTTGTAGTTTTGAAATATAAAATGAAAAAATTCTACTAAAACGATTTTTTTATTAGCTTTGACCTATATTAGGTAGGTTCACTATGGATTGAGCAATTTAAAAACATTTTAAATAGATAACAGTAAATTAAAAATATTTATCGTTATTTTTATATAGCATAAACAAAAATTATTATGAAGATCAAGTGTACTACTCTTGCCTTTAAGATTTGTATGTAGCTTTAAACCTAAGTTGCCCCATTAGGTTTAGTCTTACAACTCTGCTCCCTGATCTTGGGTTAGCTTTAGTGGAACATACACACTATTTAAAGGATTTAGAGTTGTTGCACATATCTTATTAGTCTAAGCCAGCCTTAGTATTAAGGTTAGCAGTAAGTAAACCCCATTACGTATAAGCAGAATAATATTTTGTAAATTAAATAGCCAAATAATTGTGGATGCCGAGTGGTTCGAATGCTTGCCTTCTGTGGAGATAATTTTTACAGTTAATTAAATCCATTTGTACATATCTTTAAATTCTGAGTTCAATGTAGCTTATGGTTCATAGTTCCATTTTGAATATCAATGAACATTAGTTATTTATCAATAGCATTTGCACAAGCCACTTAAATATCAAAATGAAATACCTTCTTTCAAATTTTTAACGTCGCAGTTTTTGCTTCATCTTCTAATGGATGGTGGCAGCTGCTAAAAGAAGTTGTTAATTGAATCTGAAAGAAATTGTCTTTCTTCACTTTGAGTTGGAAACAGTAAATTTTGAAAATCAAGAATCAGTTTCGAAAGATGTGGCACATGAATTATCTTAAGTGGCTTAACAATGATGTAAATGATTACATTTCTTTCAAATTTCTTATTAATTAAGCCCAATATTTACTTTAATTTTTTTATAAATATTAATTACTTTGACTAAAATGGTGGCTTTTCTTACGTATTTCAAGTGTTATATCTATTCTGCTGTATATGAAATGAATGGGATTATTTGTACGGTTATGTTACTGACGAAGACTAGCTAAATCTTAGGCAGGGCCATTTTAAAAACAGAATGATTAAAGTCAGATAGGTCCAGTTTTAAACCGTTGAAACTTCTCTATGACTTTTCTCAGGATCAAAACGGTGACTATTTTTAAGGTGAGTACAAAAACTACTTAACTGCTAGGTCATGCATTTTAAGAAGTAGCCTATTAGGTACCTTAAAGCAGAATGATTTAAATAAATCTTTGTTGTACGGTTGGGGTTGGTTTTGTTACCTATTTTAAAATCCAACCAGCTGTAAAATTGCTTCATCAATAAAATAACTTTCTATGCTAAATAAATTGTAACTACTGTATGCATTTTAATATACTAATGAGTAAACAGCAAATATATGTCTATTTTAACTGCAGGCATGTTCAGGAAGTAGAGTACAATAGAAAATCACATTTTAACAGTTAAATAAAACAACAAAGAAGACTCAGAGATATTTTATCCAAAGCGTAAACAATCTGACAAAGACATAACGCCTGGTTTGTTACAGGTTTCAACAAAATAAAATATCTTTACGGACGCCTCTTTTGTGTTTCGTTTGACTGCTAAAATACCTTTTTGTTTTATTATTTTCTCCTGTCATATAAATGTGGAAACAGAATAACTGTTGTGTATCCGTTTTCATTTTTATATATTTATGAGTTTATTAAATGTCCAACGAGGTTATATATAATAACAAATAAAAAAAAATGTTAAAATTAACATTACATCTCAACTAATGTCAAAGTAATTGAATGTGACGGGACCTACGTAGCACTAAAATAGTGAAAGTTTTTTTTTTTACTTTTGTAGCCTCTCTTTTTGTGGATTCTTAAAATCCAAGTGGTTTATATTTTAAATTTATTTAGTTTAACAACAACTTAAGAATAGAAATGCATTATTTTAGAGTGAATAAATTAGTTTAATACTTAGTAATTAAGTAGGCTATCCATTTTGACCACGATATTTACAACTGAGCTGTTATTGGAACCGAAAAACTTATAACATTTGAACCTGTTTTTTACAAACCCCAAAAGTATAGTTTAATTTTTCTCTAGTTGGTAATTGTATTTTTAAGCCAACAATAGTTCATAAGGAAATATATAACTGGGAAAATCAGTCAAGAATAAAAAAAAAATACCGATAGCATTTTTTTGTAATCTCCATTTGATAGAATCCAAACCAAAACTTAAACACGTAAAATTGTTAAAAAATCTTTTCGTCCCAACCAGCAAACACACTTTTTAAACAATGAAAAACATCTATGATTTATTAACCGTCATCAAACATTTTATTTTTGTGATGGAAGCCCCGGCATAATGGTTCTATTTATCTCTCTGATCTGGTTCGAACAAACTTTACTCTTTGCACAGTGGCTTCACAGGTTAGAGTCCATTTACTTTGTACTTCGATTGGAACGGGAATTCTAATGTCAATCTCTGTGGAATTTGACCTTTTATTTACTTTTGCAAGTCAAAAAACTGTTTGGAAATTTAATTATGAATATTTGTTTGATCTTTATGATTAATACAGTAATTCGATATTTAAGATACATTAACATGATATTTCACGCCTAAACACGAAAACGCTTTTGCTTAAAATTGAAACAAAAATGACACAATAATCTGTAACCTAAGGAAAATAGTCTCAAACAAAAATAATTTTTTTCTATAACTTTGTGATTTTCTATAAAACTTGAATCATCGATAAACTAAACTACATAATTGATTAGCAATTTTTACGGGGTAATAGCTAAATTAACCACATTTAAGTTTGGGTGAAACGACTTGAATACATATTTGGAATATTCAAAATGAATTTTAATATTACAAGCTAGTTACAAATTATTACTACACATCAATTGCATTACAACAAAACTAAATCCTTAAAAAAATTTTCCAAAATAGAAGTAACCTTTATCATCTAACTAGTTTGCTTTTTTTGGGTCGGAAACAAATAGTTTGGTTTTGTTTCAACATTTGTTGGGACGTTTTGGTTGAAACTATATCGTTGATCAATGAAATTAATACACTGTTTCAATCTTGTTTTTGCAATACCTCTGTTGCTATTAACGAATAGCATTGTGTTCGTGTTGCAAACATCTATGACTGATTTTTAAATTCATTTCCCATGGGTAAAGTTTCAACGTTAAAATTAAAAGACATAAACTGGATATGGGTTTGCGATGTTTAGCCTAAACATTAAACATTAACACAGTTTATTTTAACTACCTACCTTAACCCTAAAAAAAGCCAAAAGTGCTGAAATAACCCCAATTACATTCTCCTTTTGGACGGGTATGTTACATTAGACTATTAATTTGAGTCAAAATAGGCTAAGTAAGGTTAGGGTTGTCTTAGTACATTAGTTATTAAATACCAAGAGTGAAACAGTAAAATCTTAAAATTAATTAACATTAACCTTGAAATTAGGTTAGTTTAGCTTATGAAAATTCACTTTGGGTAATGTTAGGTTAGGTTTGATTAACTTACACGTAAAATTATATAAGGTAAATTTACTACGGGTATTTCCATTAGCGTGTAGATATTTATCAAAATAATGCATTTAAAACCTATAACAACATCACACTATTGGTACTTTGGTATTATACCGACCACAGTTAAATTGGGTTAGATTACCAACCACACCTAGGTTAAGTTAGGTTAGGATAAGATAACCATAAGATAACCTAACCTAAACACATGGGTAACCAATTTAGGTGTGGTTGGTATAATACCAAAGTAATAGTGTCATGATATTTACCACACCACACTATTTAATATTTACAACTTCAAATCAAGCGTTTAGCTGTGAAGACTCTTTCATGCAACAGTCAAACTATTCACACAATCAGTAGATAATGTCCTTGTCTAAGCCAGGATATCGTTTGTGCCATTTCCTCTTCTCCTCTTCATCCTCAAGTTTCTTCTCGTAGTAGTAGGAAGTGAGAGACCACGCGATCAGCCCGTAGATCAGACAGTTCCAGAAACCAACCTCTAAATATCCTCCTCTAGCTACTGTTACCAACTGTAGAAACAGAAAATGCCACTGAGTTTGAATTTATATGTAAAAACATTAGTTTCGTCATTATTCAACTCCTACTACGTTTATTTCAAATATTCAATTATTAAAATACTTTTTTTGTTACCTTCTTAAAATCAATTGTCTCATATTGCAATGGCACTCAATAATGGCAATACAGTTTCTGCACTAATTTCGTTGTACTCGTGTCCTATAAATAATAGTATATAATACTATACTATTATTTATTTGGATACTTTGATATTATCATCAACAAAGGACTAAAATGACTATTCAACATGAGGTCAAGCATAAAACTAGCGAGGGTCCTAAATACTCTTCCTGTCAGTGTAATGAACTATACAGGGTGAATAAAAAGTCAAGACCCCCCCTCTAATATTTTTCCAAGTAAATATACAGAGATATCCTTTTGGTGGTCGAGCAATCTTAGCAGGAAGTTTCATTTGATCATTTTGAAATTTTTGAGTGTCCCCCCAAAAGGGGGGATTTGGGGGGCAACTCAAATATTTTAAATGTAAACCCCCTTCAAGTGACACCTCATTTTGAAGTGTTTACAAAAACTTAAAGAATGGTGAAACTAGAGGTCGCTATCTCTTCTCTATCAAAAATGATAGCCCGTCAAATGTTGTGGAAAATCAACGGTAAAATTGTTAATATTGGTTGTCATTTTGGATAGAGAAGAGATAGCGAGCTCTGGTTTTCACCATATTTAAGTTTTTGTAAACACTTCAAAATGAGGTGTCACTTGAAGGGGATTTACATTTAAAATTTTTGAGTGTCCCCCAAAAGGGGGGATTCGGGGTACAACTAAAAATGTTTCAATAGAAAACCCTATCAAGTGACACCTCATTTTGTAGTGTTTAAACAAACTTATAGAATGGTGAAAACCAGAGCTTGCTATCTCTTCTCTATCCAAAATGACAACCAATATTAACAATTTTACCATTGATTTTCCACAACATTTGACGGGCTACCATTTTGGATAGAGAAGGGATAGCGACCTGTAGTTTTCACCATTCTTTAAGTTTTTGTAAACACTTCAAAATGAGGTGTCACTTGAAGGGGGTTTACATTTAAAATATTTGAGTTGCCCCCCAATTCCCCCTTTTTGGGGGGACACTCAAAAATTTCAAAATGATAACATGAAACTTCCTGCTAAGATTGCTCGACCACCAAAAGGATATCTCTATATATTTACTTGGATAAATATTAGAAGGGGGGTCTTGACTTTTTATTCAACCTGTATATATGGACACAATGGACTATTTTGCTCTTTAATTTACTAAACGTAAATTTCGTACACTGTTTACCCCATGAAATTAGTAACCAAATCGATATCTTTCTTATTACCATATTACATTCAAGCTGATGTTACTGTTATTTAAAAGCACTTTATGTATTACTCCATCAACAAAACTACATATTTGAGTACCCGGATTTTTTTTTCATTTGTATAAAATTCGATAAATTAGTATATTTTAGTGGAATATATAATGTCACATGATAGTAAATAGAAGAAGATTTAAAACAATACGATATGATGTTTTTATCTTAATTTGGACTATTTTATATTTTATGAGCAGAACTATTTTTTCGATCAGTAAACCTTAATTAGATTTTTTCATTATCATCAAGTTTGGTTAGTTTGGTTAGGTTATGACAGTTTAATTTTATAATAATAAAATACAAAAATTGAATTAGAGGCATATTTTTTTATTTTATGAACAGAACTATGTTTTATTGGTAAACCTTCATTATAGAAAAAGTGCCCTTTACTGCAGCGCTGTTCACGGAGGAGTTTTGAACTAAACTATGATGTCATCGATGCCTCTTTAATACCTCCCGTAAGTGAGACCCCATAAAAATGATGGATGTCCTTGAATACAGCTGATTGCTCGTATTTTTGCACCCAAGGAGAAATGGGGCATCTTTAGCTAAGCAACGTATTAAATGAATTAATTTTAAACAGACGTTTTTGCTGGAAGTATGACAAAGATATAACGCAAATCCTAAATTCATACTTACAAATGGAACGTTTTGTCCAGGCCTGTACTTCAATTGATGTGCGATCCTCATTTCTAGAACAAAGTACAAATTTGATCCCAGAGTGATACCTTTGGTTGGAATATCAGGGTTTAATTAAAGTCAAATTAGTTCTGCAGATTGATTAGTCAGACGGTGACCAGTGGGAAGCCTTACTAACAAAACAAGCAAACATCTAACTAATCCTTGTATGTTTTTGTCTCTTTAGAAATAACATTTACATTGACATTTTCATTTGTCAATTTGCCAAGCATGCATGAAATTGAGTAAATAAAAACCCCCCTCCCCCACTGCCACATAAAACTAATGTAGATTGTGTTTACTATACAAATACTGTGCTTATTATAACTCTTTTCTGTCAGTGCAATTAAATCAAGTTGTTTAAACAGAACATTTAGTTTATCTGTTTATATATTTTACTGTGTAACTACTATGAAATCCAGACTCAAATTTATTATGTACAATTCAAAATCAATGCTTATTACGTCTATTAACCTACAAAACTAAGGGTTCTGACTGTATTAACTTCTTCAGGGTAGTTCTTAGTGATTTCTTTTTCAAATTAATTTGTTTTGAAGAGCACAATGAATAAATATAACAAACAATATGCTCTTTTTAGATTATATTTTTTACGTGCTAAGTGCATTAACATGTTTCTATTCAAAAATTGAATCTTTAATTCAGTTAAGAGCGCTCTAAATTCATCGTTACACGCTTTCTCCTATTTAAGGATTATTAGTACATTTCCCTTGTACGTACCAGCCTATGTTTTAGGAGTGACCTGTAAGGTAGGGTATCTCCTTTGAAGTTTTCTCACTTCCTGATGTCTTCCAAGCTTGCGGCGATAATAAAGGGCCGTTATCATCCAAGTTATCACACAAACTAGTAGTGATACGTTCTGTCCTACTGAAAGGTAGCTGCACTCGCTTATTGCAGCCAACTGAATGAAGAAAACACAGTAAATTATTCGATCTATGTTTGTAATCTTCTGAACAAATAACACTGAGGTTCTAAAACCAAGAGGTTGAACCACTTGTTCATTGCAGCTAACTAAATTATGAAAACACAGTGGTCCTAAACCCAGGGAAAAGCTGCACTCGCTTATTGCATTCAACTAAATAAACCACATACTGTATAATCTCAAAACCTAGGTAGTAAGTTTATAAAGAACTAACACTTGAAAGCAGCTGTGTTTTCTTATATCAGCCAACTGTAGCAATCTGCGAGTTAACAACCGTTAAGGTTACATAAACAATAAATATAAACATAAACATTACGGCAAACCTATGAGTTATGTTTGCAATCTGTAGCATGCTTGATTGAAAGCTCATTTAACAGCTTTGTTCATGACATTGTGTAGCGTAAAAAAAACGCTGAAATGTGTTTTTGGAACAAACATTAGGATCGTAGAATCATTCGGGCAATGTAGGATCAAGCAATATACACTGAGATTTTTTCCAATGGTGGTCAACTGTATTGAGAACACTCAGTAGTGAGCGATCAAAGGGAAGTTAAAGTCATGTTTGCAATCTATTTAGGCCAACTATATTGGGAACAGGCAGTAAAGCTGACCACGATCAAACGATGACCACCGCCAACTAGAATGGTGAACAGAGCAAAGTTTAACAAATAACTTTACGGACTCTATACATAAAGTGTTCATGTAAAAAACTCTTCTTGTATTTTACTTACGAAAGGGTAACGTATGAAACCTTTGATTGCATACGATCCATCAAACATATCTGAAAAAACATTTTCAATTAGTCAAAAAATATATTTTACTAAATAAAAAAATAATGTTATTGATTTTCTTAGAAATCTCTATTTTAAGACAGTAGATAAATAAATAAAGACAGGATATATGGAGTTAAATTGTGTTATCGGAATTGTCAAACGACAATTCAATTCACCTGGAATGGATGCAATGGTGCAATAAAACCCAGAGATATAATTAACTGTTTGGTTATAAAAAGCTTTACCGTTATAGAACCCGGCAAGATGACATACAGTTTGTGTGAGCAAAGAGTGCATTTCAATTAATTTAATTAAATTATGCTTTTATTTCGTTTGAAATGCGTAACTACATTTAATTACTAATGAAAACTAAGTTAATGCATATTTTCTCGTTGATATTAGTACAAATGTACCGTAAAGATATACATAGGGGGATTTCATATTATAAGAAATACCTCTAAAAACATTAGTCCTCTCTTATTTTTCAGTACCTATCTGATCAACAGGCATAGCTAAACATTCCTAGACCATTTTTGTTAATACTATTATTAATCATTGCATTTAATTTGTTTGATGCTATACCCTAGGTACAGTTACCCAAACAGGATAGCATTACGTAAACTACATTCAGTAATTAGGAACCACTATCCAACTTGATGAATTAAATGTACATTACAAAAGCACAGCTCAAACATAAATTAACATTTAACATTGACATAGAGTGCAAATACTACTTAGATAACTATTATTACTCCTAATTGTTTCACCTATCATCTTTGTTTCGTAATTGTACATTTAGAAACATAAAATTGAGTTAAATAATAGTTAGTTTCGTGCCATAAAGGATTTAAATCGATGTGGTCTGGGTTAATTCTTTCAAAAAATAACATGGTTACAAATAATGCTCCCGATTCAAAGCAAAATATGGCTCTCCAAACCAAGTAAACACCGTTTCAAATTGCTTGTGGAGATAACCCATAAATGCTCATTCAACGCAATCGTCCACAACAGTGGGTTTCAGACCCACAAATACACATGCACATTTAGATGACTCCTGTGTCAATACCTATTTAAACTTTTAAAAGGTACGCCTATCCAGGTGTGAACACAGATTTCAAGTCCACTTTCTACAGCGTAGATACATGTAACCGTGGACAAAATAATTATTTAATTGGTTTGTTTACGATGTTACCAACGTTGTTGGAAATTAAGGCTTTAAACAACTTAATCGAATGGCGTATCTCAAGATATTAACCATATGGTTCAGGCAAGAATGGGGTTTTCACCAGTTAGCAATATAATTGCATTTAATTTAATATCTTTATTTAACATTTGCAAATATTGTAGTGCATTGAATTGTTTATTGTTCTTAACCTAGTATACAGTTGTTACAGGCTCATAGTGCGTTGAAAAATTAAATTGTATAGGGTACATAAGAAACAAAATATGACCGTGACTGGCTTGACTGTTATTGTATGACATGTGTACCTGGATAATTTCTCTTAACAGTAAGAACCATTTCAAAGATTTTTGGGCAAATATCGTTATGTTTTTACTTTTACAATGAAGTTTTACACTTACATTACTATTTAGTCCCATAACAGTTCTAAATTCTATTTTCTCTAAGGTTATAATATTCTAGTTATATATTATAAATATTATTGAAAGGGGCTATGCACAATAGAATGGTGTATTGTTTTCTATGTACATAGATAAGATAAGAGATATTTTTCAATACGAATACCCCTGAATTAATTTTTGCAGAAACATGATCAACAGGAGAGGTTATATTATCAATAATATTTAAACCCAAAAATCTTTTCTTCAACTTGATCATTTCTTCAGATTTTAAAATAATCAACGATTCTATTTCTCCAGACTTAAGTCAATATGATGCATAATAACTAATTTGACAAATAATAGATTACACTATGCTTCAGATAAGTGTGTATATTTTATGTAAGAAACAGATTTGTTCTTACCTTATTGTTACACGTCTCATGAACAGCTTTAAAATACAGCGATAATGTTCTGAGTGAGCGTTATCATCATAACTGCTGACCTTTGATAAACAAACTGCTTTATGTTAACTGATATGGTTAGTCCAGAACAATACACCATCTTTAATGCTGACCATGTTATTTCCCAATAAACGGTCTGCCTGTTTTGTTATTCTTCACCTGTAAATTAATGTTTAACAGATAATTAAAAAAATAATTTAAAAATGTATAAGCAACAGTCTAACTGCAAATAAGGAGAATTAATACTTTGGGTTGAAAAGAATTAGCTTAACAGTTAATTGGCAGAGGATAGAAAGATTTTAAAACTTTACTATCAAAATATATAGGCCATAAAATAAAGAGTAAGTTCATACTCAAATCAAGACAATTGCCGTTAATCAGTAATCATCATTGTATTATCATTTGTTATTTGCATGTATGCAATAGACATAGTCAGGTTTTACAGACAAGATTTTTAGTATACAACAAACTATTCAAGTATAACAATATTAGCATGCAAAAGGAATTGCCAGATGGGAAATAAATCCAAAAACTAAGGAATCTTATGTTCCAAACGGTACACAGAATGGATATAAAAACAAGTAGTCCACATATTAAATATATTCACAGAAAAACTAAATGTTTTAGAAAAATAAAATACTGTAAATTCAAATTTAGGTTTCTTATGGAAACAGATTTTACCCTTCCACTTAAATGTTTGTTTTCTGTTATAAAATTGCCTTATGAAATATTCAAACAAAGCTTAAATTGTCTAAACAGTAAAATAATTCTGTTTCCAGTAATATATTGTAACTTGTCACTAATGCACATAAAAATTCAAAACTCAGAGACAAATATTTGTAGGGAAATGCGAACCGTGTAGAAAGATATGATTTATGACTCAAGAGGAAAGCAAGGGAGCTGGTTTGTGCCAATGTAACGAATATTGCATTTCAACGTTCCTAGAGTATTATTAATCAAATACTGTAACGTTTAAAAGTGGAGTTTTGTCATCTTCTATCACCATTTATAATATTAAACATGAAGTGATGAATTATATTTTAGATTAATCTCAAATTAACGTATTAAATTATTTTATGTTTTCTGTACTTTATGTGTATTTTGTGAATGTACAATACCACTATGAATACTAGTATTCGTTTGAATATAATTAATATACTTACAGAATTCTTCTTCCTTAAACGTGTTAAATATGAAATGAATTGAAATAAAATAAAAATGTCTATATTTATCTAGGCAAAGTAAAACATGCGTTATTTATTAAGAGTTTTAATGTCAAACACTTAAGATTATAAGATCGTGGGGTTTAAAGAGGCGATAATTTCAGTCCAAGACTAAAAAATTAATTTATTTTTATCGTATACAAATTTATATTTTAATAATATCGTCTACTATTGCAAAATTACACAATAAAGTAGTATACGGCTAGCTTTAACGACAGTAGTATTTATACATGTTGCGATGTAATTAATATATAACTTTTATATTTAGTTAAAGGACTTCTGTCCTAAACCATAGACCAAATCCATCCAATCCCAAACGTTTATATCACAATAATATAAGCCGATTATTCGGAGACCCCTTTATTCTTAGGCACATTTATCTAAGATTCTGTTGCGAAAGAAATTGGCAGCCTCCTTAAACCTTGTATTTGTCCGTCCATATAGACTACAGACCTGTAGGTGGAACCTATTCAGCAAAGCAAGGGGTGAACCAGGACAGTGTAAGCTTCACCCTTACACTGTCCTGGTTCACCCCTTGCTTGTACTGATAAAAAGTAGTGGCTGGCATCAAGATCCGAACTACGACATTGCTGCCTTGGGATGGATACAGGATAGGAGGTACAGGCGCTACCGACTGAGCCACCAACTCACCATATGCTATATAAAAGGAAACGTCAAGGAGAGCTAATTCTTATTCAACGTACTGTATTTACAAACACAATTGTTAAATACTTTTTAAACAGCAATTTTTGTATGGAAAAGTATTTTCCGAACTGAAATCATAACTGTTGTTTATCTGCATGAAATATGACATAAAACAGTTATTATCTGTCAATTTACAAGCTTTCCACATCGCATTCAAGAGAGCAGCTGTTACAGCCATGAATTGAACAAAGTGATTAATGGTTTATAGCGATTCCGGTGTTCACTCATTCTACACATAAAGCAACAGGTTTTGTCAACAAAGTAACTACATTATTCTATAGCAATGCAGTGTACCTAATGTGTTTCATTTCTAGGGTTACGACCGATAATTTAATTAGTTTTTTTTATTGTTGTTACTTAGGTAATGTAAACTGAATTGCAACTTGTATACCATTTGAATATTATTTAAGATTAAATAGTTTTAATAGTAACCAAAAACAAAAAGGAATGGTTTTTATTCTAACAATATTTTGGCCCATATAATGAACTCAGACCACAGTTATAAAAACATGAAAGAAAATCTAACAAGTTTACAATATGAAAAAGAACGTGAGAAACTTAATGTAAAAGAAGAGCTAAATATTTATATACACAACAGAAAGGACCACAACTTAACACAATGACTCCAAAATTAAACCAACCTATCTACGATAAAATTGAAAAACTAAGGAAAGAAAGAAAAACATTAATATAGTATAATGAAAAAATTAATACCAAAATTTATTAAGATTTAGTTAACATATATTATATTTTATTATTTTTACATATGATTATATTTTTAATTGTGTTAGTTTAATGAATGAGGTTATGGTAAATATGACTGATAATGGACTTAGTCTCCGAAACATGTCGTCATGAAAAATAAGATAATTACTAAAAGGGTTCTTTGTTAAATATGTTTTTGATTTTTATTATATTAGTAGCCCCAAACATGCAAGAAAATAATTTTGGTCCTTGTATCAAGCAATTAAAAACTAAATAAAATACACCTCGAGCTCATTTAAGCTCTCGGGTTTATTTTGGTGTTAATGTTATGTTTTAATTATTTTATTTATTTAAGTATAGATTGTTGTTTTTTATGAATTTAATTGATAGAATGATTCGTAATCGTCATAGATTCGTATGGTTGTGTAAAAATAGTTTTTGATTGATATTTAACACGCAAAATTAACTGTTTATAAAATTATATAAACAAATGTATAAGATAGTGGTCAAAGCCCAAATAAATACAATCTACACATTTCGTTGTGATATTAGTGAACTTTTCATTGGTAAAAATATACAAACCTCACATGTTCACATATTAGGGTAGAACCTTCAGCAAACAAAATATTTATACTCAGCATTGTATAAAATTAATAAGTAAATTGAAGCCTCATTCTCAAGACAAAACTCAAGGGTAATCAAAAGTGTTCAGATTACATTTTATTGAATAAGAAGCTTTAGTTTGTTTCGCTAAGCCTGAAACAATGAGGGAATCAGAGCCCATTGTGAACTCTCAACCAATACAAGTCCAATACTTGTACTCATTGTACAGCCTTGTACCAATTGTTGTGTGTTTTATTTTATTTAAAATTAAATAAACTAGTTGTTACCCACCAGCTTCACCCCGTTTAACATTTATAAGTATTAATCTATGGATTAGTTAAGTTAAGCTGAAATAAACAAAACAGAATAAACAAATAATCACACCTTAAGGTAATACATTTAAAGAATAACAAACAAATCAGTACAGCTGAGGCATTTTCAACATTAGGTATATGGAAAGTCCCCTTAAGAAAGGAATTAAGACCTTAAACAGCAATTACTAAAATAATGGAAAGATTTGCGAAAGGTTTCTAGTCATGACGAACATTTTAATTATGTGGTTGATGGGGGTGTGACTTTAAGTTTTCTCTAAAGTTCATGGGTACTTTGGGATTTATATATGGATATTCATCTAAATGCCTACTAACATCTTAGCGCCAATCCATTAAAACAAATTATTCACATACGACAAAGATTTTAATAATAATAATATATATATATATATATATACAGATCGTTGGTGACCTACTACTTTTCCATTACTAGTCAGCAAATACCTCAATTGACGTTCCATCGTTTTTCATCTCGAATCCGACATATTGGACTCCCCATATTGGATGCAATAGTTCATCTACATATTAAAATATTATACTGACATGATATACAAATATTACATGCAATGATTGAACTATTTTTATCAAAATAGTGTAATATATATTGATGAATTTTAAAAGTTAACTAGTTCAAACTTGATTCAGGCGTTTGCCAAATAATATTTTCAGTCAGAACTATTATTGTTTATCCAGCCAAGTGGTAAAATCCAAAAAAATACCGGTTCAATTTCTAGAGGGTTAATTTTACACCAAGTTGTGAAATATTTGGCTATCAACGAATAATGCTATCCAAGAACAGTTAGAATGGAATGCTAACAAGGCTAGGGATTGCACTATTTCCTTTAGAAAAACGTAAACAATGCTAACGGCATTAAAACACCCAAAAATAAGTACATGAATAATTGGATATGTTTACCTAGATCAGGATCAATTATTGGACTACCAGTTCTACTATTTACTTGTACAGATACTCTTTTGACTCGTATTCAGCATACAATAGTATAGTATAATACTATAATTAATTGGAATTCAATAATAATTAATGGATACTATCATATTACACATATCAGTAATAAATAATCCACACAAATCTGATACAGTATTTAACATTACAGCCCATTGCCCCGTCATTTAATGGCCACAGTAATCTCCAAGTGGTATATCAGTCCGTGTGGTCTTTGAGCGGACAGGTCGCCACTTAGCGTAAGTGCAACAGTGGGAACTTAGCAGCCTGCACTTGGGTCAGAGGGTAGTAACTATTATTCAGACATATCTACAGAACATATTCAATCTTGGCCTTAAATTAGACAGTTTATGAACTGATAAACTTATTAACCTCTACCATTTGGTAAATAAAATTATCACATGTCTTTTACTTTTTGGAAAATATTTATATTGAATTAATGTAGTTAATTCCAGGGAGACCAAAAAGGTAAATATATAAAAAAATATT